CACACACAAACTAAATGGTGAACTGATTTGATTATAGGATGAAGAAAAACATTTACAGTACTGTTTGTTTCTGTACTTTTTTGTGCAAAGTTAACTCAAATTTATAAACTCAGTGCCTAGATAAAATGTATAATAATAGAATACAACTTTAATCTACTGTGTATTGTCTCAGCAATTTCTGAAATATCATTGTGACTATGTTTGTTGAATATAGGTTATTAAGATAAGATTAAGTCTTAGATAGACTTTATTGATCACACACTGGAGAAATGTCACATTTGGTACAGATAGAATCACTCAGATTGTGCAAAAGACAGAAGTGCAAGATGCAAAAGACATGAACACAATGTATTGTTTTTCATAAACAATACATTGCGTTTCTCTTTCAACAGAAAGCCTTTTGGAAAAGTACAATTGTGTAATCAAACCAGGCCATGCTGTCTTTATCTTATCATAGAACTATTCTGTCAGAATCAGAATAGTTATTCTAAAAAATATAATAACAAAAATAAAAATGAAAAATATTGATAATTTTTCTTTAATTTTTCTAATTATATTTCCTAACTATTCCGTCAGAAAAAGATGATCCGAAGAAATGACAGAGGCCAAACAAACATGCCACTTTAGAACCAAACTGTTTTGAAAGTGAGTAACTAACTCGTTTTGGTCTGGGGCCGAGTTTGAAAACATTAGAGAAGGTTACTTTTTATTTTTATTTTTATTTTTTTACAATATTTTTGTATTTTGACACATTTAATGTCCATTTAATTTGACATGAGATTTTGGATTAGAGTTTGGATACAATTTTTCTGTAGGTTACTATCACAACTGGGCCAAACATTAAAAAAAAGAAAGTGAAATATATATTTGAAAAGATTTGGCCTAACTTGACTTCTAATTACATGTCAGCTAACACTTTAGAACTTACTCATTTTATAGTTATAATCCTGAGAAAGTAAGCTTTAAAATGAGGTATAACATGCCATAGTAACCCATTACCATCACCGCGGCAGGCTACTGTAATAGTGATAATTGAAAATCATTTCACGGGCCTTTACAAATAGTCGCACGGGCCGGATTTCGCCCACAGGCCTGGATTTTGATTTGCTTGCGTTAGATAGATTAAATAATTACACTGCATTTTTGTGGTTTGAGAATTAGGCATTAAGAGGACAAACCGGCAGCTTGACTCCCAAAAGCAACACACTTTCTTCACAGACAAATCCAGCAGTTTTTGAAATCTCGCACCAGTGAAAGGCAGAGTCTCCGCCGCTCTCACTGGAGCTCACACTTCAGAAACATTCTCCAATTTATGCTTCAAGAGTGGAATCTAATACCTTCTAAAGCTGCGACGCTGCCAGCTCTTTGAAATGAAAGCGCTGTGATTTCCTGCAGCACTTGAAGCGCACAGGCCTTTGGGAGAGAGCACAATAATCCTGCTAATTAATTTAAGGATCAAATTTACTGCCTCTGTCCAATGGATTCAAGCATAAACAAAAGCGTGCAGGCTACAGGCACTGACCGGCTATAAATAACTCTGCACGGCGCTTCTAACTTGCGTTTCATGAAGGAGCTAATATGCTTATTTGGTGATTTATGATGCATGTTTTGCGAAACAATCTAAAGAATGGAGGTAATTAAGGGAATAAAATACTGGCCTTTTTAAATGTCATACAGTTTATGTGTGGCATGTACCGTCATGTTTTGTTTTATTGGAAACATAGCATTGAAAATAAAAAAATCAAAGCAACAAAAATTAAATCATATGAAAGGAATGATGTGAAACAAACACAAGAAAATTAGTATGTTGATAAAAAAAAGAACCATCATTTTGAAATAAATAAATTACCTCCATCCGTTTTCTTCCCCTTAATGCCTTTCTGGGTCGGGGGGGGGGGGGGGTGGCAGTCAGAGATCCCACCCAAGTCACAGAGCACCAGCCCCTCAAACTACAATTATTTTAAATTAAATAGTAACTTGTGATGTATTGTCATGTTCACAATTGAAATATATATATATAGATATTTTTCCTAAAGATTCAGATTCAGATTCAGTTTATTTGCCATTTGCAGTAAAAAAACCACATTGGAATACATTACCAAAAAGTCACCAGTGTGCACAGACAAATACAGACATAAAACAACATTAAAAGACAGAAATAAATCAAATAAAACAGTAAACAAATGTCGCTGTGAAATCGATCGACTAAAACAGTTTCAAAAGAAGTGCAAATCATTAAAGTGCTCTGTTCACACTGATAACAGCTTGTGGATAAAAACTGTTAGCGTAACGAGATGTCCTGCATCATGGCTTTTCCAGGGTGGCCAGAAGAGTCATTGACAATCCTAAGAGCTTTGTTTAAAAGTCTGGATTTATAAAGAACCTCCAGAACAGGAAGCTCACTAGCTACTAAAGTATCACGTTTGCATTCTTTAGTCAAGTGACATGTTTGTATTTCTTATTGTCATCTGGTACATCAAATGCAACAGGTGTATTCATAGGAGAGGTTTACTTTCATTTCTTTTAGAGACACTCTGAAAACAATCATACATTCAAATCTTAAATTGTCTGACCTGCTTGTTTTTGGCTATTCTGTTATACGTATATTGCTGCAAAACATTATCTCAAGAACTAAAGATCTTTGCTCTGACCCACATTGTACTAGTGTCTTTATCTTAAGCATCGGCGACATAAATATCTCAAGGATGACGTGTCTCTGTTCTTATTCACATTGATATACATAATATACAAAGCCTCGTCTCCTTTTGTTCTATCTGGAAGAACTTGGAAATAAACTGAGAGTTACAAGTGCATGAGGTTGTCGCTGCCTCTCTCTCATTTCTCCACAATGATCACGGCACATTAAAAAGGGCGAAGATGGAATCCTTCAGTTGTATGTACAGCTGAACAGAACTGATTTTAAACCTGGATTTGACCATTTTAAGACAAGAAGACAGTTCAAAATATAAGCTGCATAAATCTGAAACGCTGCCTCCCCATGTTTAGTGCTGACTCTGGGCACCAGCAGGAGGACAGTTCAAGTCCTGATCCCCTGGAAGTATCAAAATGATGTGTATTGAGTTTTGGGCTTGCATGAAATTACGGCTTTTGACACTTACACCCAGTTTACTAAAAATATAACATTATATTTATTGACGCATGTAATATGGAACTATGGCTTTGGCAGAAGTTTAGCATATTTATACGTATGCAGAAGGGAATTTAATATAGATTATGGAAGTTAAGCTTCCCGAGGAGAGCCAGGTGATGGTGAAAGCTGACGTGATGAGTGTATGAGACCAATAAGACATAGTATTTGCATATCATAATTCATGCACCCCGACATATATCATGAGCTGAAACCTTTTTAATCAAGGCAATCCGATTCTGGTTAGTACAGGAAGGTGAGTAGACGAAGTAGAAAAAAAGGAGGGATTGCAACCACAAGAGATCTTCCAGTCCCTGAACCTTTGCAATAGCTCCAAAAAAATTGAAAATTAAAACTTGAAATGATAAAAGATATCTTAATCTTAATCTCTTAATTAAGCCTTTTGAGTTGCCTGGTGTCTGAACTGTGCTATACAAATAAACTTCTGCCAATACATTTCAAGCTGTAGATGACAAGTCTGACAAGAATAAGAACTAAACTGTTTTATCTCCGTAGTAGCAATTATAAGGATTACTATGTTACAATTAGTTTATTAGTTTTGACGCAGGGTCTTTACAAAGCAATTCAATTATTCAATGTATTTTTGTATATTCCTAACAGCAGTCGCCTCTGATGCCTTTACAAAGTTGTCGATTCGCCAAAAGATATCAGAAAACACACAGGAAATGCAAAATTGACGAAAACATGGGAGCCATTGGTCTATGGAAAGCATCTCAACCAAATGCGGCCCGCAAGACCATCTTTAGTGGCCCCTGAAGTGATTTTCAGTTATCCGTATTACAGTAAATAGCAGCATTGATGGTAATGCGATACTTACTGTATATACACATATAATTGAATCTGTTTAAAATGTTGACTAAGACAGTAATTAGAAGTCAAGTTACTTTTTTATATTTAACTATGAATCGTCAATAATAATAATAATAATAATAATATAATTAAATCCAAACATACGAGAAAAAAAAAAATGACGAATTTCAAACAAAATTAATTTGTCAAAATACCAAAAATTGTAAAAAAAAAAAAAAAACAATTATACAGTGAATAGTAAAACACTTGGACTCTTCTCAAACTCACTCGGAGCTGAGTGTCTCTATCACAAAAAAGATTTTGGATATTTGCTGGAAGAGAGTGTTTTGATACCTTGAACATAACTTGTGCAGTTTTATAATTGACCAAGTCCTCTAATTTTAAATCACTGTTCTTAAGAAAAAGCTGGTTTGTGTGTTCATTGTAAGGGACTTTATGAACAATCCTAAGTGCTCTTTTCTGGAGTGTAATCAAAGGCAATAGGTTTGTTTTATAACAGTTTCCCCAAACTTCAAGACAATAATTCAAATGTGACATTACAAGTGAGTGATACAATATAGCTAGATTTCTTAATGACACCAACACACTTGGCAACTTTTGAACGTAAATAACTAATATGAAATCTTTTCGTCCAGCATCACTCCCAAGAACAAATTTTGCTGTCAATAAATTATTCTTTAAATGAGCTAAGAATCTTACTTCACCTCACTCTTGTACACACACACACACATACGCACACAAAGAGACAACCACAGACATAATCTCGCCATCACCCACTCAAGATCATTTATGTGGCACTTTGAAAACCCAGGCAGCCATCTTGGTCGGACGCGTACGGTAAAAAGCGGAGGCACCTGTCGTCTGATGGATCTGGCCGTCGCCCTGGGGTGCTCTCGAGACGCTCCAGTGAGCAGAGAGTGTGGGCCAGTGGAGGTGATCGCGCTTCCAGAAATAATTGAGAGCGGATGGATTGCTGGAAATATGAGGCCGAAAAAAGCCCAAAGGAAATGAAATTACTCACTTGGAGGAGAGACTTCTTAATTACTCGGCTCGCGTCGTGCCGCCACTCAGGGATATCCGGGTTGAACTCATCCAGATTGGGTGAGAAAGATAAAAGTAGAGATTTGAAGAATTCTGTAGAGGGAGAAAGGAGGATTGTGTTAATGGAGGTTTATTAGCTTTTCATGCCACGTGTGAAAATCATGTTTTTCTTGGACCGTGAATAAGGAGAACTAAATCATGGACAGCTAAGAGTGCGAATATGTCTGAATAAAGAATCTGAATTATCTTTATGGCCATGGTAGAGTCAGAGGAAGTCACACAAGAGGAATTAGCTTTGGTATGGTGGTGGTTAGATAGATAGATAAATAGAGAGAAATATGTAGATATAGACAGATAGAGATGGAAAGAGATAGATAGAAATAGAGAGAGATAGAGAGACATAGATAGATATATAGATAGAGAGATGGATAGATAGAGGGATAGAGAGATAGATAGATATATAGATAGAGAGATAGATGGATACTTTATTGATCCCCGTAGGAGGAATTCAAGTGTCCAGCAGCAAAAAACACATCCATATCACATTTGTACATACATTAAAAACATTTTTAACTGACTAACATTTCTAACTAACTACCAAACAATAGTGCATATTTTTAACTCATACAGGTCTGTTGTACTGTCTTTTTTTTTTTTTTTTTGTACAGTTTTTTGTGTGCATATTATACTTGTTTGTGCAGCACTTTGGAAACATGATTGTTGTTTAAATGTGCTATAAAAATAAAGTGGATTGGAGACAGATGACATGCATACACAATCTAAATATAATATAGAATTCTAATAACCATTATTTTTATTATATGAAAGCCCGTTATAGATGTTTAATAGTGCAGATTATAATAATGCATGTGTTTTATACAGTGCTTTTCAGGACACTCAAAGACACACTTCACATTTGTCATTATTCTTTTTTTCCATACACAGTGGTGATAAACTACTACTGCAGCCAGAGCTGCCCTGGGGCACACTGACAGAGGCGAGGCTTTTGTAACACATCTCACCCTGGGTTGAACATTATGTGAACAGTATTTCAGAAATAACCTCAATCAGGGTTAAAAAAAAAAAAAGCTCTAAAATTGCACTATAGTATGATTTGATGTTTAACACTCAAGTCGTTCAAAAATATCTACTGCAGGTGCAATTACACTGGTTCAAACTCTGTTAAAACTCTTTTTGGTAATAATATAAGTATAGCCATAACATTGTCTCACAAGCAACAATATCAGTGAAGAGCTGTTGAAGGACTCGTTAGTGTTATGTGGCATTTAGGTTGTATACAAGTTTTATGCTCAGACCTGGACAAACACTGACAAACTCTTACAAATAAATTATGCGAAAATGTAGCGCCTTAAGTGAGTAAGTAAGTCTAGAAGGGCAGCTACTCAAAATGAATCAATCAAACAGCACAGCAGCAGAAGTTTCCCCATGCACCAACAGCCTTCCAGTGGCCCGCACACCACAGATTGAGCAGCGCTGCACTTGCACATTGATACTTGCAGGCATAATCCAGTCTACAGCAGTACCATCTGTCAGCTCAGGTAGTTAACAAAGGATGAGCCGTGGAAGAGGTGTCCCCCATGTCCCCTACTCCGCTCTGGGCGAGAGATGCACTTCCCGATAATTAGAAAATGTCACAGTTTTCACGCCAGTTTTTACTGTCCTCCGGTAATAAATCATCACATTTCAGATGGGTTGCCACTTCATATGAAATGGAGGCATGTTCTTCAAGAGGGGAGAGAAGTTATGGGGATGTTTGACTCAAGGAGGTGCAATTTGTTTCACGAGGATTTGGCCCGAATCATGAGAGGTTTCTGGACGACTTATGAGAGAAGCAGACGGAGGGATTTAAATGTGTTTTAATGACGTGTGGGTTTGATGTTTTTTTACACTTGTGACATAAGTGTTTTCGATCTGGCAACTGAAGCGATCCATATGAAGAGTCTGAAGTATTTTGTTTTTTACACCAACTTAGTTATTTTATGTTGAGAATTTGCAACACTTTTTAGACTTTTGACTATTTCTTTTCTACGGCATACACCATGGGTAACGGTGTTTTTAAGTTTGATCAAGGAGTGATACAGCAAAAGAAGTGCTAAAACTGGCGACATGCTAACTGCTTATAGTAAAAAGTGTGTTGCTATGGTAACTAGTACTGGCTCTTCTCCAGGAGTTAATGGTAGAACTCCTCACATTTAAACAAAATAATAATAACAATTTAATCAAAATAATGACATAGAAATAAACTTAAAATATATGCGGCTTCCAAAACAAAAAGCCGTCAAATTGACAGCTCTGGGAAAACTAGTGTCAATTTGTTGTCAATGTGAAGCACTTTGGGGTTGCTTTATGTATGAACTGTGCTACAGAAATACATTGTGAATGATTGGTTTGTGTAGTGAACTTCAACGTCACACATTGCGATGAAGTCACTGACCTTTGACGGCGATGGTCCTGGTGTCCTGCAGGATGGAGCTGCCCGCCGCCACCTGCACCGTCACGCTGTGCATCCCCTCAGAGCTGAAGGTGTGAGAGATACTGCCGTCCAGAGAGATAAGAGGCTGCACAACCACAAAAACAAAACAGATTATTTTTCTATTATTATTGTTATATTTTTATATTGTTATCATATTTTTACATTGTTATCATATTTTTACATTGTTATCATATTTTTACATTGTTATCATATTTTTACATTATTATTATAAATTTAAGATTATTATACTATTTTTATATATATAGTAGTAGTAGTAGGAATAGTAGTAGAAGTAGCAGCAGCAACAGTAGTAGTAGTAGCAGTAGCAAGAATAGTAGCAGTAGTAGTATTAGTATTAGCAGTAGTATTTTTATCATTATATATTCTTATTATTTTTTATTTTATTCTTCTCTATTATTCAATTTTATCTTTATGTTTTTGTCTTCTCGTCCTTGTGTTACGTTCTGTTTGGGGTTGTACTGCTGTGTTTTTGTTTCATGTTGTGTTTTTTGTATTCTTATTAAATGCTGTGTTTTTGTTGCCTTTAATTAAAACAAAAAAAAACCATCACCTTTCCTGCATTCAACACAAACTCATGCTTTATTCATGTCTCTTCTTTCGGCTCTAATCTGTTGCTTTTCAGTTTTACCGAGACCAACGGAGAAGAGATTTACGGGTGATGCTGCGCTCCGAGACAAGAATGGATTCAGACTCAGGCGCTGTGTTGATTTTTTTTAAATTATTTTTTTTAAAGGCATATACAGCATTGAAGTCTGTCGAACCAAAAAGGTAACAGTGTAAAAATAACTGTGCTCAGTGATAACCATTCATCCTGCGATAGACTGCTGCGCCAAACAAGTCTATACCAGTCTGTGTTCTGAACAGCCTCATTTTAAAGCTGGGAGTTACCGTTTCATCATCAGCTTGTGCTATATAAGACAAGAGATAAGATACAACTTTATTAATCTCACGCTGGAGAAATACATGTTACTTTTGGCATCAATAAGACCTCTCAGGCTGTGCTCAAAAGACAGGAAGTTTGCAAACATGTTAAAAAAGTGAAAAGATATAGAGAGATCCTATGTAAAACAACTGAAGGATTTTATCTATTCATTATTTTCATCCATTGTGTGATTTCATTGTCTTAATGGTTTTAATTCTTGTGTGATTTTATTGTTTTAATGTTTTAAAATAATTAATTTCAAATGTGTTTTTAAGGGTGATTTTTTTGGAGTTTGATTTTTGTGATGATTTGTGCCCATGTAATGTGAATTATTATTCTCTATACTGACAATTATTTTTGATATTGTCGCACCATTCTTTTAATGGCGCTTGTGCAGCCGGTGAGCCAACTTCAGCTTCGTCAGAGCTAATTCCAAAGCTCAGGAACAGCCCAAATCCAGTCAGAACAATTTTAACAATCCAGGTTGTCGGCCTTGAATAAGCCGCCCTCCTACTAAAGCGTTTGGACACCCCTGCTATATGGATACTAATCGGAATCATGTGTTTGCATGTTCTCCCTGTGCCCGTGTAGGTTTGTGCTCCGTTTTCCTTTGGCACTAAACATTTCCAAAAAGCCCTGGAGCCTAATAATTCATAATATTGCAGCAACAGAATCAAATTCAAACAAAACATCATTTTTACTTGTATGAAAAAGTCTATAAACCTTTGTTGCTGTTTTTCTGGACAGAGAACGATTGCTTTTCTATTTTTCGGAAATCTTATGTAACTTTAACAAGAGCAACGAGAAAAGTTGCATCAAACTTATAAAAGACTCGGCTGTATCTTAAGTTCAAAAGCATTTACATTTCCTCGGATCGTTTTTATAGGCTAAAGGAGGCTACGTCGACTTCACAAGATCAATGACAGCGTTTATAGGGGATGAAAAAGAAAAAATGCAGTAAGAAGTTGAACATTTCACAGTTCAGTCTTCCGTTCATATATTCCTCCTCACAGAGACCAGCGCGGCACGGTTCAGAACAGCCCACAGAGTGTTTTCTCACGTTTGAACCGCGTCTGATGGAGCTGGCTCTTTCTCTCTCCTTCAACAACAAACCTAATCAGACTAAAACATACAAATCTTGCTTCTTCATCATGCTAAAGTTGGAGATTTCAGGAGTCTTTCCACATTATGCCAAAGATCAAGATTTTATACTGCTTCGTTTTATGCTATATGAGATTTTATTTTATTTTAGTATAGAGTTATTATTCATTTATCTTGTGTTTTGTGCTCCTCAGTCCTACTGCCTGTAACTGTGAGGCAACACTGACATTTCCCGACTTTGAGACGGATAAAGGATCTCTTAATCTTTTAAAATATTTTAGATATTTTTTTCATTGCCAGCTGTATAATATACCATTCAGGGGGAGAGACAGATCTTTGAATATTGGCCAAAAGTATTTCCCTCAAGTTGAAGTGTGTTAAGTCACGTCTATAGTTTCTTATGTCTTAAAGTCTACACTGAAAAAAATGATAAAATAAGAGGTATATTGCTTGAATCAAGTGTTTTTTTATCTTGATTTGAGCACATTCTGACTGTCTTACAACAAGATTTGCCAATGGAGCAAAGCCGTCTTATTTTCTCATTCCAAGGGAGACATTTTCTTGTATCTTTTATATCATTTAAAAAAGATAAATCCATTGACAAATCCTGTTTCAAGGCAATCAAAAAGACACATTTTGCCAAGTTTGAGCAATCTTTGACTTATTTTTCATCACTTTCTGGTAGGGCTGCACGATATATCAAAAAATATCGTTAGCGTGATATTGGTGCTTGCAAAATCCAAATCAAAAAGATTCACAATAAAAAAAAAAAAAAATCCTTAATTAAAGACGACAAAACAGACAGGCACATCACCATTCAACAAGAACAACAAACAAACAAAAAGTATATAATAATATTTTTTGTTATTTGTCTCTTGCGTTCCAATGCAGATTGCAATTTTAGGTGAAAGACAAAAATATTGCAATAATATCGTTATCGCAACACTAAACACTCATATCGACACTCTAATTTCCAATATCGTGCAGCCCTACTTTCTGCAGTGTAGAACTCTAAAACACTACTGACAAAATAGTAATAGCCTCACCTCTGAGTTGTTCCCGAGCCACCAGAAGTAGGTGACCGTGCGAGGTTGGCTGGGGAGGATCACCGCAGAGATGTTCACCTCTTTGTTCCTGATGACCACGAATGGAGCCAGCAGCTGGACGTGCTCCACTGGACCTGTAGCAACGGAGTTATAGTTATTGGAGCAAATGAGTGATACATTTACATGAAAAAGCACATATACATGTTTTATTAGGATGAATTTTCTTGATGCACTGCAAAAAATGATAAAATATGAGGTAATAATTGCTTGATGTTGCTTTATTTTCTCATTCCAAGGGAGACGTTTCTTATATCTTTTCAAAACAAGATACTCCCATGGGTAAATCTTGTTTTAAGGCAATAAAAATGTGATCAAATGAAGATACATTTTACATTTGTCATGACTTTTTGTAGTGTGTCTTGCTATCAATGGTCCCTCTCCATTGCACCACTGTGTCATGGCTGATCCCTCTGACCACAATCGAGTGAGGGTGTAATCACGGCTGGTAAGTCTGGTGGTGTCTCTCACTGTGGTCTTTCTGTTTTGGACCCCCTCTTTCTGACATGTAGCTGACTTTTTTTTTACACTTTTGGCCTTCAACACAACTCATTTGCAATTATGTTTATAGATTAGAGCTGTAATAATGAATTGATTAATTTCAACTGACGACTGCTGTTTTGAATTAGGGCAATGCAAAAATAAATTGGTTTAAATTGTAGTAATCAATTGACTGTAAAGTGTTTTGTTTACAGACTCCAACACTTGTAAGTCTGTGTAAGTCTGAGAGAGGGGATTTAAACAGAGCAGTCATCAAATCTTTGCATAAATGTCTCCATGTATCAATAAAACAGTCTTGTCTGGAAATATGATGGAAAAGAATGTCCTCCAGCAGCTTCACTCAACCTTTTTCTGCCTCAAATCTATATAGACAATTGTGTTTCATCATTACAAATCCCGGAGCAGTCAATTTGAGGGAGTTTAAGTATTCACTGTATTCTTGATTTTAACTTTTTATGAGATAAGATAAGACAGACTTTATTGATCTCACAATGAAGAAATGTACCCGTCAAAATTGGCGTCACGATTTGTGCATAAAGACAAGAAATATGCAAACAGGAAACGTGCAAACGTGTTAAAAAGGTAAAGCAGTCTATTTATATGTAAATATTTCTATAAAATTGTATTTTATTACAGAAATGTGAGAAGTAACTCCCAGAGCAGTCATTTTGACTAGTTAGCCATTTTCAGTTCTGGTTTTGGACCGTTCCTGGACCTTGACTGATCATGGTCTAATCCTGGACCTGGACCACTGTTGGTCTGGTCCTGGATTGGTCATGGTTAGCAAAATTGAAAAAATAAATAAATAAATACATCAAATAACAAATTAAGATGTCTTTGTTAGATCTATACCTCAAAAGACATCATAATATTAGAATTTGTGAAGAGCTGCAGCAAAAATATATTCACAGGAAGTATTTTTTCAAATGTCTTCAACTTAGGAACTATACTGGGACAAAGAAAACTGATCTTTTGATACCACCTGGTATCTAGGGGAGGCTACAAAAGGGGGCAGATTCTGAATTTTATAATTTTTTGTTGTCAAACTCTTTGAACAATCAAATCTGAAACTCAATGCTTGGAGAAACAATCTAGACACAAACATATCTTTAGAAGATTGGCATATGGTGTTCACCAAAGCTCAAAAACAAACTATTGATTGATGCGAGTCTATGTCACCCCAGTTAAACTCAATAAATACAACCCCAATATCCCAGAATCATGTACAAAATGCAATGAAGAAAAGGGTACATTATTCCACTGCATATGAAACTGTAGGATAATAAGATCATTTTGAACAGTAATCAGTCAAATTATCAAAGGAATTATTTCAAAGAACGTAACCCTTGAACCAAGCTTTTTAATTTTGAGGATTTATCCAAAGAATGTAAGTTATACAAGTAGTGAGAAAATACTTAGACATGAATATCCTACAAGCTAAAAGGTTGATTGCACTGAACTGGAAGAATAGTAAAAGTCCGAGCATAGAACAATGGGCTAAGAAGATGCTCTCTGTTTTGCCACTGGAACGAATCACTTTCTAAAAGGGCAAAGTGATTTTAAAAGGGGAAAGTGATTTGTTTGAAGCTGTTTGGAGGCCATTTATCATGTATCTAGGAGACATTAGCCCATTGGACGAGCTCAGTGAAGAAGAATCTTGATTGTTTTTGATGTGGTTGTGTTTTGTTTCGTAAAAAAAACTGTAAATACTAAATAAATATATTGTTGTCTTTGTTCATGGCAACTTTGACAATGTAGTTATATTTTCTTACCCTGACCCATGTACCTGTTTTCCCCATAGTGAGACAGTTATAGCTTATCTCATGTTTTACCAGAGGTGTCAAACTCATTCCAGAAAGGGCCCGTGTGTCTGCAGGTTTTCATTCAGCTGAGAATGAAAACCTGGACTGAGTTTGACCCTCCTGTTTCATGTTATCTCAAAATAATAGCGTTTCACTAACACTGGCTCATTGTCCAAAGGTGGCCGCACACATCAAAACAAAACATATCAAAACAATTGGAAGCATAACGCAAATGCAGAGCGAAAGGGTCAGCGAGAAACTTGTTCCAGCTTAAAACAAAGAGAGCTCAGTAATAAAGTCCACGCGCTACTTTGAAAAATCTGTGCTACTTCAAACTATGCCATTGTTTTGTAGCTGTAGCCTTAGAAAAACTGGCAATTAGCGACTTCTGCTTGATCTGAAGGCCAGTTTTCAGCGTGCACCTACGGTCACCCGGCAGACCGCTCACAGAAGCCTCTTGTTTATCTCTGATGCTGAATTATAAAACGTGTGAAAGGGCAGGGGCAGCACACGTTTCACATCTGCTGAGGGCACCTGACAATCAGCTCCACAGGACTGATCTGTTTCAAAACGCTTCTTGTTTTATGACATATTACAGATCAAATTCCTTCCTTCATACTCCGGAGAACGATGCTCTGAAATCAAAACTCTTCGTGACTCGCTGCCAATGACTGTGTATAGAATGCTCTTACTGTATTCCACTCTAACCCAGTATTGTGATTATAAATACTTTACAGTACTTTCTGGACTATAAGGCGCACCTGTAAATAAGCCATACCACCCAAATTTGAGAAGAAAAATCCATTTTGTCCTTGTAACATTGATCTCGCCTCTCATCAAGAAAGTCCTGGGTTCGAATCACGGTCGGAACAAGGCCTTTCTGAGAGGAGTTTGCATGATCTCCCCATGTCTGCGTAGGTTTCCTCCAGAGGCTCCGGTTTCCCCTACCACTAACAAATATGCACAATAGGTAAAATCTTCCAGCTGCAGTAGTCCTGACCAAGCCAAGCATCAACATCTGGAGATGGGTTCCCGGGCGCTGGTACTACGACGACCACTGCTCCTGACATAAGCCTTAGTGGCATCAGAATGGGTCAAATGAAATGCAGAGGACAAATTTCCATACGAGGATAATAAAGGGCGAATTTACATTTCATAGGCTGCATTGGTTTTCATGTTGTAATGTAGTAGCTAGACAACTGTTTTAACTGGTCACAACCTGATTTAATGACGAGGTGTTTAACAAATTAAACGTTCGCTTCCATCACCCATTCACCTTCCTCTGTTTTGACAGTATCCATACCTACCAAAACTTGATCAGTCAAAATAATAAATCCGCACTCTCTCAAACAGCCCAACACAACCGCAGTGAAAAAAAACAAAACATATTAGCCACATTGCTATATAACTGTCAGGAGACAAAATTAGAAAAAAGTACTGTAGCTGCTTATAGGCCGGAAATTATGCTAATAGGAAAAGCGTATTTGGTAGCCTTTCCATGGGTCCGAACATACAGTCAAAAATCTCAATGCTTTTGTCATATTTTTGAGATTCTGACCTGATGGAACATGGCTAAAGAACAAATAGAAGGTTATAGTTGGGTCATGTGTTTTGCGTAAGAACAGAGTGGCTTTGCTTTGGCTTTTCGTGTTTTAAATATGCATGGGACATCATATACTGCGCTTCAAGGTCAGCAGTTTTCGGGCTTCTGTTTTTTTATGCATGAACTAATTTAAGACACAGTACAGAAGTGAGGTTGAAAAGACTATGGTAAACCCTGGGTCAATCCACATCAAACCAAAAAATGTTGAAAAGTGTTTTTGTCTGGAAGTGTTTTGTCTGGAAGTGATGACAATAATCCAAAAACATATGCGTTGAATAAGAAAAGTCTTACATGCAACTTGCAGAATTCCATTTGTTAGTTATGTGGACTGTGCAGATAGATACGTACATGTGACGTGGAGGTAGAGTGTGGTGGAGTCATAGCCCAGAGAGTTCTCGGCCAGAGCGCTGACCCGGAAGATGCCAGCAGACTTGTACACGTGCTTGATCCCCTCCTCGGTCCAGCTCAGGTTGGAGTAGGAGACCGCTGTACCGTCCCCGAAGTCCAGCTGGATGTTGGTACGCAAGGAGTCGCCCTGGGAATAAGACACCTCCTTTAAGCATGGGTCCATATATACAGAAGTCAGAGGAGTTTGGCCCATTCATGTTTCATTTTATGCCAAAAGTGATGAAAAATAAGTCAAAAATTGCACAAATTCAGCTAAATGTATCTTATTGACTGCCTTAATATAAGATTTGCCAATGGGACAAAGCAAAATAATAAAAATATACAAGAAATGTCTACCTTGGAATGAGAAAATAAACCACCAGTTTTGGGTATAAAGAATGTACAGGTTTGGGAAAGTACAACTAGTTTACGCTATGCACAGAATAAATCTTGATTAATCAAACAGAATAGCTACCGTTTTCAAGTAAGCTTTATTTACTTACATAAATACTTACTTTATTTACAAAACACTGTATTTCTCAGAACATTTCTGACATACTTACTCCACTCATCCTGGCATAAAATATGAATGTTTTGATACAGAATCAAAACATGCTTGTTGACTGAATATTTGTTTTTCTTCGGAAATGCCAGATTTAGAAAATGATTGTGTTTTTGAGCAGACAGTACACTAGAATAGGGGGTGGGCCCACTCCTTTTGAGCTGTTATTTGTGAAAGTCGTCTATGTTCTGTTTAAACATGTTCTCAAAAAGATTAGTGGTTCTTGTTCCCGATAAAGTATGTTGTACCCTTTAATATTCACACAACTTTAATGTATTTAGTTCATATTTGAAAACCATAGTTTTGAATTGACTTTTCTCTAACTTGAATGCACTAGCATACTGTCTTCCAGCCATTCCCAAAGTCAGTAGCACCGGGGCCCCCTTAAAAATCTGACGGGTCTGCGCGGCCCCCCCGAAATAATAACCAAGAAGACAACGTTAAAAATAGGCTCTTCTCGTTATTTTATTTGGGGGATATAGCCTCTGCTACAAACGTGTAAATGACCATCCCCACTTTGTAATACACCAATGATTACAATTTGATGATTCAAGTCAAATAATAAACACAAATATTGTAATATTACAAACAAAATATTGTTAATTTAACATAAAATAATTATATTAAAAACATTTTATTTTTTTGATGACGGCCCCCCCTGGAGTACCCCCGTGGCCCACCAGGGGCCGCGGACCCAACTTTGGGAGACACTGCTCTATTCAATAAAATCCAATGCAATTCAATTCAATGAATGTTTTGTTTTGCCCTAAAACACAACAGCAGTCGTCTCTGAGGACTTTACATAATAGTTCTGAGAATAAAACAGTTTGAACACAGGAAATGCAATAACAACAAAGACATAAGAGCCATTGGTCCATAGGGAGAGGGATGACCAATATCCATGAATGTTAATAAATGTCGAATACATGTCTCGGGTTATCACTGTCCTTATACCCTCCTGCACCGGCAAAGGTCAAAAAAACCTCTTTCTACAGGAACCAAATCCAATCCACTCTACTCTATTTATAAGGCAAATTTCATAGTAAGTAAAACATGATTATATTTTAAAAATCCAAAGTAAGGCAGTACAATCATTAAAAATCCATTATATACATAATAAATTATGATAAAACCAATTATACATAAAATATAACAATAAAACATCCTCAAATTAATCGACTCAAGCCGGAGCATAAAAACAGGTCTTAAAACACTCCATAGAAGGTGCAGATTGAAAATGTCGGGCCAGAGCGTTCCATATACAGTAGCTATACCTAAATTTCGATGTTGCCGATTTTGTCTGCCGTTTTGTTTTCTTTGATTTAATCTGTATGTATAACAACAACATTTAGAAAGGAACATTTCCAATAAACTTTATGCAATTTTCCAGCATTCATCCAAAACCATCAATCTGACTCATGAATGTATTTAAAGTGGGCATCTGGCTGTTTGGAGGCTTCATACATAAATTCAAAGTCTTTTCAGAGCCAGGTTCGGCCCACTCATTGCGGCTCTTAGGCATGCATTAGCTCTTTGTTGGACTGATATTTCATATACATTAATGCTGTCCACACCTGCGACATTGCACAATCCATTAAGAAGCCAAATATTCAGCCCACGGGAATGGACAATGAGATAAACTTGAAACTGCAAGTGGCACTTTTCCATTAGGGTTTGTTGAAAACTTTATGCAGGGGCGAACAGCGTTGGATGGTCACTACTCTGATCAGGATGAACGTGTCTCAGATAATTCACAGGTCAATGAATCAAAATACATCAATTGATTTGAAGTACATAAATAAAACATGTTTTTTGAGAAATAATTCTATGTAAAGTTGGATTGGACTAATACTGTATTTTTTGTTCGTGGGAGAAACAGGTGCTGAATAAAGCAAAGTGGATTCTGCCTCAGCCCAAACATCCTCTGATCGCTGACTTTGTCATGAAGCCTTTAGGAAGTCGTTTTAATGCTCCATCTCTATAAAATAGATTTATATTATTCCAATTATTTTGTGTTCTCTGGTCTAGGTGTTTTGACTTTGATCACTATCAACCTCTATTAATTTGAAACCAAAACTGTGTACAATGAAAGATGAATATATATAAATACAGTAAAAGCCAATTAGTGGATTATATCTCCTCTGGGTTTTTCCAAGGGTCAGCTCTATTCACCATAGCGAGCCAATGTTGCAAATATGCAACATTCCAGAAGGCATTGCCTTTGAAGGTCTCTCTCAAAAGAAAAAGTCAGGATTTTCTGTCACTACCTTATCATATTGATGATTTTACACAAATTTCAGACTTTTCCTATTTTTCAAATTGGATTGGGCCCTGAGAGAGTCAATATGTTTCCGTTGACTTTGCTTTGCTGGGAAGACATTTTCAAGTCAAGATTCACAAATGCATGCACAAGTGATCTTTAGCCTTAGGGATTTCCAACCAAACCACATCAGGCCAACTCGTTCACAGCTGCACGCCGGCACATTAAAGTCCCGTACACGTCCTCATGTATAAGATGCCAGTTGTTCCTGTTTGCCTTTTTCCCTGTGTATACATGATTCAGCTGTATCTCCTCTGGGACTCGCATCTGGCACCATGCATGGCAGGTTCCAAAGCACAAGTGTTGATGGCCACAGCTGCTGCTCTCACCGACTCCACTCTCCTCCCCTCAGGCCGCGAGGCAAACTCCCAGCATGCTTTTGGCACAATGCAAAACAGCACAACTGGGATTCTGATAGCTCTGCATTAGCATAGCCGCGCTGCCGTGGCGGACAATGGATCCAAAATAACAGTCCATTGTTCTTTCGCGTTTTTCTATTGATCTATTGAGTGAAAACAAAGTGTGAAATCACAAGAGATTGTTTTGGCTTGTATAATACCATATTGAGATGATTTTACGGCATACTGCCTGCAAAATTGTTTCTTGGGTAAGTGACTAAAAGAAAATGGGGAAGTTTTTGAACTCAACTAATCCTGCTTATGGCAGTGACAAAACCAAAGCCATGACTATAAAGATCTGAGGTATGTGTTTTTTTTTGGGTTAGGTAAAGGTATATGCTATTTATCCCTGGGGAATTTTCTCTATTGACTTTTGCTTAAAAGAAAATAGTTCCAGAGCCCGGAGCATATTTTGTCAATAACAGTCCGCCAACACCACAGATTGTGAGTGAAATCCTTCTTACGAACATAGCAGCAAACACACACACACACCTACACACACACATACTACAGTGCACACAATGGGGAGTTTCTGTCATTGATACAGCAACACAACAAAAAGCAGGGGTCTTGTTGAATGTTTCAGGATGCCAAACAAAAAATAATGGTGAGAAATTGTAAAAGAGTTGAACCACCAGTGACACCTGTGAAATCAGATTTGTTCAAGTTGTATTTGCAACTGCAGTTGCAGCTCATGTCAAAAATATATAAATATTTGGCAAGCTCTTGATCTTCCACTTCTATAGAGGTTTTTAGCTACAACACAATGCATTACAAAGAATTCAAAATCAACGAGAGCAAAAAAACAACTTAATGTTTACATTTTCAATACAAACTATACAGATTTTATTTTGCTGTGGGACGAATAAGATATCTCTTAATCTTATAGTCATGGACTTTCTATCACTTAGGGTGCATGGCCATAATGACTTTTGTAAATATGACCACGCACCCTGAGTGTATCGAAATGCATGGCTCTTCGATGCAGTAGACGTCGGACCAGCTCCCATAGACGTAATATAAAATGACTTTGACAGGGGGCGCACTGTCAAAAAGGCAAAAACATAATTTGAAAAAAAATTATCAGGCATCTCTCACCACCTATATAGACTATGTCCTTATTATTGACCTTATTTTGAGAACCACTATCTTAAAGCTCACAAAGCAAAACCAATACTGTATAATGAGCTGGCGCGTACGATGGTGGCGCCAATGTCTGTCAGGGCTCCGCGCCGTTGCTGTCCTTTTTTTTTTTTTGTGTTTACGCAAGCTGTGTGTGCGAATCCTCAGAGGGGCGGCTTCATCTGCATGTGACTGAGGAGGGCCCCGCTTGTCTAAATGTCAGTCTTTGTGTGCTGGGATCCCTCAGAGGGGCCAACGCATCCCAACATCACAGCGAGGCTACAGCCCTGAGCCGTGACACCGACACTGTGAAGGAGGAATCAAAAGCACAGAGCTCGCCTCTGGACCGCGGGTTTGTCTCGTTGTTGCTGTTGCTACACAATCCTAACATTTGTTCAGGTGCTTGTCAAATGTGAACCAGAAGAAGTGTGTGGACGAGTTGACATTTGAACACTCAATTACACAGTGGCGTGGCAGAGGCAAAGATTAGACAGAGAAAATAGACAGTATATTGTTTTTTTTTTCTCATTTGTGTGTTTACATGCAGGCCAGGCAAAGCGGATAATTGATCCAGTGCTGAAATGCACAAATAAAGGACTTGTAATGAAGTGGGAGTGTGGCCACGTCAAATCCAAACAGATTGTGTGTTGTGTTAAAACTTGGAACTTTCAATTAAATTCTTGTATTGCACCTAAATCACGGAGGACTTTACAAAGTTGTCGATTCACCAACAACAGAATGGACTG